TGATATTATAGCGAAAACTATTACGGTCTATGGACTATCCCACATCATTAGACGTTGGATTCGAACTAGTCATCGTTTGCTCTGAGCCCTGAGGAAATTTAACCATTACGTATTTTAACACGTCATGTGTAGAGTAACACTTCCATTAATCGAAAATTTGTTTAAAAAATGTATTTCCATCACAGGGAAAAGTTTTGAATACAATATTTTATATTACCTATATTATGTACATTACATATTATTATTAATTACTAGCTGAATTACCCGGCGTTGTCCTGAAATAAATTGTGTTTATTCAACCCCTTTTGAGTGTGGAAGCACCCCCTGTGGCAGCAATGTCTTTTTTAGTGTAATTGTTTAAATTATATTATATTTTAATCTATAGCTATCCCATCCATTCGATGTCAAAGTGATTAGCTTGTGATTTTGTGAGCAATATATTATCAGTTGGGTAGATTTACCTGCGTTAGATTGCGGACCCCGTGTGGTTTGTACGTAAGTGTATAATTTATTTAACACAAAAGTATCAAAGTTATACCAAGTTTGTCGTTTTTACTTAATTAAATCTACGGCAGATTAATACAATCAATTAGTACAAAGTCCTAACCTAACAGTACTAAAATACGAAGAATACAAATAAAACCAGACATTTGTAATTCGTATGTATAGATAAAGATAACAAAATAAGGAAAAAAACAATGTAAAAAATTGGTCCACCGAAATCATGGTTCGAGGTTGAGAGTTTGAGACATTTTGTACTAAAATGCATAGAAGTGTCACTGCACCAACAGACTTATCGCATTAATAATAATAATAATTATTATTAAAACCAATAGCAACCATTTATAAACAAAAATTTCTATCATAAATCTCAAAACCCCGGTTTGAACACATCCCCAAATTTGAACTCTAATTTACCATTTTTAAGTAGCCTATCTTCTTGTCAAAGGTGTAATATTTCTCTGTACCAAATTTCGGATGAACGGTTCAGGAATGCATGAAGGACAGACAGACAGACAAACATTCATTTTCATATTAATTAGAGATTATTTTTCATCTGAATTTATTTTCGGATCAGCGTAAAACACAATAATATGTTCTGATGAACGGACTGTTTATTTACGAGTCGTCCACACCGAACCAAAAATTGCAAATAATTGTTTCAGTATTTATTTCATTGTTTGCATAGTATACAATTGAAAAAAAAAACCAAATTTCAGGAACATAAATTAAATAGTCTATAGGCATATTCGATATGCTAATGCCGTGCTTTGCGGATTTAAATAAATCGTTGTAGGCTGTAGCAGACAACCATATTATGATACTATGACACAACGTTGGACGTTGGATTCAAACTATTAGTTGTTTACTCTGAGCCCTGATTCAATATAACCTTGTGCATCTGACACATGCGTGAAGTAAACAAGTTCGTTATTCGAAAATGTATTTAAAAATGTATTTCCATCACAGGGGAGGCTTCGAAAGTAAATATAATATGTATGTAAACATATCATTAATAATTATTATTTTGCATATTCATTTTCCGATCAGCGTAGAACACAAAATAATATGTCGATGAAGTAGAGTATTCAAAGATAAAATAAAACCTTAAAGGAACTTTTAAAACGTAAAAAGCGTCTGATCGTTCTGATTTGACACTTGTTGAGTGTTATTTAATAACAAAAAATATTTTTAAAAAAACGTCAACCGTATAGTTTTAATGTACTAGACTGAGTCCTCCAGTGTTAATCAATAGTATAACTATACAGTGCAGAACATAATATTGCTGGTATAACTACAAACTTATTTAGCATTTATTATTATACAAGAGAGGTAATCGAAACAGACAGAATTTATTTTTTTAATAATACAATAAGTAGTAAACTCAATAAACATTTTACTGCTATAAGAATATTATAAGTCAACCTAAACCAATCATGTTGAGTAGGTAGTTATTGTCTGCAAATTCGTAGAAAGATGGCGTTAAACAAATATAAAGTGTAGGTATCGTATTATCATATAATTGATACAGATTGATTCACCAAGAGTGCTCATTTACTATTTTTTACCTTTAATAATACTAAAATCTGCTTTTTGGTATTTTTAACTATATCTATATTCATATTTTCAGATATTTAAATCTATTATACTTTTAAGAAGTTCCATGTGGGAATACAGTTTATTTTAAAAATTAGAATCATACTTCTTTACTGTAAATTGTAACGCTGATGGTTTTTTTTAGATTCTAAGCGGAGCGAGGGATCTATAGAGGTTTTACAATGGTGTTTATTTTTTATTTTTATTTTTTTTATTCTGTATACAAAATTTTTTCCAAAAGGAGTACTTCGATTTTAACATAGAGTATCTTATCTTTTATCAAATTGGATCAATATGGTACTTTAGAGAGGTCATTTTTGGATTTTCTCAAAAGTTATTTAATGCCACGGGAAAAACTACCGATAACTTACGAAAAATCGCTAAAAATGGGATTTTAATTTCTAACGCTTTGTATATCACCATAAAAACAAATAAAACATTTAAATATTAGAATATCAATTTAACTTACAGGCTATAATAAAGAATAACAATATAAAATATCCAGACTGACAAACCGTCTCCGATCAGAATCGTTTTTCTTATACAATAATAATATATTATTGAATTCAAGTTTAATATACTCCATTATACATTGACCCACTTGTAACCTACTGTACAGCAGAGCGACATCCGCTTAGCCACTTTTTTTTAAATGTATTATGTATGTAATATCCAAATCAACATTTTCACTATGTTTTGGTTTTTGAGTTATTTTAATTTGTGCATTTTTATAATATCAATTATTTTAACTTCTAGATTTCAAAAATATATGGTATGGGGATTTGATGATTTTTAAACTATAGTAAGTATTATTAATCAATCGACATTCTATAGTTTGTAAAAATAATCTAAAGTTTAGTAAGAACAAGACTGCCTACATATTTTAAAATTATATAATATTATACAGTATTTATATTTTAATAAAAATTATCTAATTATTTGAGAAAACGAGAAACGGCGTAGGTAGGTAAGTCACAAAATATTATATAACACGTGAAATATATTTTCAATGGTTATAGTGGCATCACGTGTATACATTTTGAAAAAAAAGGTTTATCATTTTATGATGGTTATCTACTAATATTAGATTTTAAGACCGCCATATAGCGTACAAATTATTTTTTATCGTTTTTTTCGAATTAACTTTTTTGGACACACATTGATTCTAAAATAGGTGGTTCAGATATTATTAAGGACTATTATCCTTAGTGTACCTGTAATCTGTATACGTACAATAATAATATACATAAAGAAACTACTCGTTAGAAACTATTTAAATGCATATCAATTTAAAAAAAAAACAATCTGTTTATCAACTTCCTATATACAAAATCGTGGTTTTCAATAAAATATAGTCTCAGAACACTTCTAAATAATGGTTTAAAAAAGTCTAATTTGAAAATTTAATCTTAAGCGTATTTAAAAATCAGAATTTTAGTAAAATCACTATTAAAGGATAAAAAGGTAATGATCATTTTTGGTAATACACCCTGTAAATTAAAGTTCCAATCGATGTGAGTGACATGAGAATATCGATCGACGATTGTAAACAAACGAACATACAATACAATCGTTATGGGAAGATGATGTAATAATGACAAGAGACCATTTTACAATTACACAGTAACCAGCAATAATATAAAAACATAAATGGCTCTCAGGCCAATATTGATATAATAATATTAAGCAAAAAAAAAACCAAATATCGCTTGGTTTAATCTTGTTCGTTTCGCACGACGATTATCACACTATTGTACAGAAACAAAAAAAAAACGATTTCGCTTAATCCTAGAACAGTTTATGCGGTATAATTGTAGGAATTATAAATTATTCATCAGCTCTATATGCATATTAAAAATATACATTTTATTACATTTCTTGATATTGTGTACAACAACGTTCATTGATTTTAACTATTAATATGGCAAAATATTATATTGTACAGGGGCTCATTGGTTGTTATTATTATATCGTCCATAAAATCATATCTCATAAGTATCATGTAAATTAGCTTATAAGGTTTTGAAGATTCTTATCTGGCTCTGGAATCTTTCAAATGTGGACGCCCTAAACACAGCATATTATTATATAAATCTTGAACTTAAATATATAATTATTTATCACAACTATATCTAAGTGTACTCCTATAATACCTACCTGTTTCATGATATCTGATAATAAAATACATACGTACAACAAAATGTATACTTTATGATCTTAACTATAATTTAAGTGTATTATTTTTCCTTAAAAAAAACTTTTATAACCTATAAAAATTAAATGCTGAACACAAATACTAACAAACTTTTGTTTAAAGTATTAAATATAACAGATTACACCATAAAATGTTTAAACCCATTTAAATAGTAGTACTAAACCAAGGTAAGTAGGATGTAGATCCAAATGGAATTGTAATGTAACTATAAAATAAATAAAATGATTGATAGATATGAAGAACTGGTATTTTAAATGTATGCATGCATTATACATTGTCCCTACTACAAAGTAAATAGGTATTGTAATATACCCTAATTTGATTATGAATAAACGTATTGAGACAGATAGGTATAAAAAGAGTATACCAGAGAATAAAAACTATCATTAGTTATTTTTGTTGCATTCAGTTATTGAGTACAATTTAGGTAAAGTAATGAAATAAATAGTAGTAAGTTGTGTAATAGTAGTGAAAAATATAGTGAATATAATGAGTATTAATAAACAATAGTATAAAAATAAAAACATTGAAACAGATATTTTTCATTATTGATTTAGATCAAAGGTTTGTAATTAAAAATAAATATATTGGTGTGTATAAAGTATAATAATATTATTGTGTTAAATGTTTTAATAATAAGATCAACGTTTAATACAATCAGTAGGTGAATTTAAATTTCAAATAGACAATGATTGAAATAATTGCATACGTAATTGTTGTTGTTCTTGTGGTGATGTGGTGTTACTTCAAATGGCATAACAGGCACTTTGAAAAATTGGCTGCTAGAATGCCGGGACCTCCAGCGTACCCGATTATAGGAACAGCATATCAATTTATTGGATCATCAGAACGTAATGAAAATAATAAATTCCTGAAAACAAATTAAATGTTCTACTTTTGTATATTTTTTTTCATATTCTTCAGAGATCATGAGCAAAATAATTGATTTGGCGAAAGAATATAATCAATTGCCATTTAGACTATGGTTAGGACCATATTTTGCAGTTGCCGTTGGTAACCCAGAAGACCTACAAGTAATTAGATAATTAATTAATTACTTTTTTTTAATAAATATAGTTAGTATATTGGTATAATGTAATCTAAATTAAACGGTTAGATTAGTTCAACCGTTAATTGTGATGAAGTTTAATATGCTCATATTCAATTTTTGTATTACATAGTACAAATTAAACTATTTGACAATTTATTTTTTCACATAATTTTGAAAATTCTACTTTTCAATAGAACGATGGGCAAGAATATGAATAAAATAAAAGTAGTTTGTTTACTATTTGACGACATCTCCATTTCTAAATATTAATAGCTTAAAATAAATTATTGTTTTTATTATTATTACCTTCATTTTAGATTCTGAGCGATATTGATTTCGAAAAAAAATATTATACAATAATGTGTGTTTTTTTGTGTGTCTGTGTACACGGTAAGTGGGTAGTCGATATAATACTTTAATATAAGTGTTCTTACATTTAAAATACAAAAAAAAAAATTACCGGAATGTCAAATTAAACTTATCAGCTACCGTATTGATAATAACAATATTTATATACAAATAATATCCTAGGCTGACAGACCATTCCGCTCAGGACCGTTTTTCTTAGACAATAATACTATATCTTTGAATTCAAATTTAACACCCTCCATTACTGTACAGCAGAACGATACCCACTTACTTGCTTTTTTCAGATTATTTTTAATAATTCAAAGGCTCTTCAAAAAGACCGAATGTACGATTTTTTCAAGAATGCTGTGGGTGAAGGTTTGTTTACTGCACCGGGTAAGTTAAATACAAAAGTTTAAATGATTTATATTTGTACAAAATATAAATAAAATTCATTCTTATAAGTGGTTATACGGAAATTTTTTATAATTTAATTACAATTAAAAATAATTTAAAACGATTACAGTTGACAAATGGCGCAGACATCGTCGCATGATCACTCCCGCTTTTAATGCCAAGCTTTTGGAACAGTTTTTCCCTGTGTTTAACGAAAAAAACAAAATTCTTATCAGGAATGTTACGAAGGAATTAAATAAAACCCAAAAGTTCGATCTCTGGCACTATATTGCACCAGCTGCCCTAGATACTATTTGTCGTAAGTATAATTTTAAGTCTTGTAAAGTACTTGAATAAAACTGTAAAAGTATTCAAATACTTTTTAAGGAATCAAATACGTATTTTAAATAGTTATTATTTTTAGTTAATATATTTAATATTTAATTAGTTAGATAAATAACATAAAAATAATACAATTTGAGAATGTATAGGTAATACCTAATATATTTGTTTTACTGTGAATTACACTCAACCAAAAAAAGTATTTTAAAATTACACCAAATTATATGGTTATATATTAACAAAATTAACGTGAAACATGAAAATCGGTTTAGTTGGTTTATATAATATAACATATTATGGTAAAAAAAAAAATGAAATTATTTGTAAGTATGAAAAAAAAACATTTTTTTTTACCTAGTATTAAAATATGTATATTAAATGCTTTTCAAAATAAGTTTCTAATTTATCTGTACTTGAATACTTTTAAAAAGTATCTTTTACAATACTATAATATAATACCATCTTATATATGATTTGTGATAATTATCAGCTATTATAATATAGTTACTAAGGGACATTTTATTTCTAGAAACCACTATGGGTTACAATCTTGACACTCAATCAAACAATAAAGAATGTGAATTCGGAGAAGCAATTATAAAGTAATACTACTTAAAGTCTTGAGAACTTTAATTATATTTCATAATTTATTGTGGAACTATAAAACATGATAATCATTCAATACGATTTTTTATGCAATTCAATAAAAAAATGAATTAATATTTAATATTTAATTTTCATCCTTATACCTGAAATTATTACCCATTAAAGTATTAACCACGTCAATTTGTTTGTATAGAGTATCCGAGTTAGACGCTATGCGAATTTACAAGCCATGGTTATACCCAGAAATCGTGTTTTCAATGTATTTAAAACTCACAGGACAGCAAAGGATCCTCGAAACAATGATACAATTTCCATTACAAGTATGTCTTTTAGATTTAAATATGTCCATGAACATTTGCAATCATTTCGGTCGTTCTTCATTATACAAAGTTATGCTCATTGTGTATCGTAACAACTAATAACCAGTGACTATAATAACGATGGACTCTGGGCCCGTGTGCAAAGATTTATTTTTAGGGTCAAAATTAATATAATTATTTCTGATATTAATGTATTTTGTAAAAATATTAACTTTAAATAAGAACTTATAAAAAAAAAAATAGACCTTTATATCGTGAATATTTCTCAACTGCTATAATAAAAACTTATGGAGGACCTTGTATTAAATTTTTAAGCTGTTTGACAAAGCAGACCATTTCTTAACGATATTTATGGAAATAAAAATTTCAAATTTATTAAACATATTTTTAAAATTATATCATATATAGACAAAGTTGATGTACACATTTTGTGAAAATTTCAACTATCTATGTTCATTCGTTTTTTAATTAGAATAAAATAAGTAAGTTGTCCCGTAAAAAATCGTTAGTTCAAAGATGAATATCCGATGTCGAAACAATTTGTACTTCAATCACTCATAAAAATTTAATTTGAATTTCCAGTATACTTTTTTAGTATAAAAAATAAAATTGAATAACTTAAAAACTAAATGATGGTATCATACGATACACAATACACATATACTATAAAACAGATTTAATAATATCAAAAAACGTAACTAGGTACTGGTAACTGACAGGCGGTCAGACACGACGAGGATATAATTTAGGTGTTCTAATGTAGACGTTTTACCACAGTTTTTAGATTTTGCATGCTTTATTTTTACAATAAATAATTTTATGCTATTTAATTTTTGATAAACTGGCAGTTCTTATTTTTATTCAGTAATAATATATTATTTTGTAAAACAAAAGAAAACACTTTTTTTGTTCAGTCTGTTTTAATTTACACATTGCACTATTATTAATTCAAAAAAAAAATATATATAACACAAATAACACTAATACAAATAATACACCAGTGGATACTAAAATATATGTAAATAGTTATTTAACGTTTCATAATAAGTTATTGCGATCGCATAAAATAGATTTATCTGATTGATAAACCATAAACGCAACAAAACTATAGTGGACGATTAATTTGACAATACACTTATACTATAGGTCCTTGGATTGTTTAAGCAATCATTTACCAACTTGTTGTAGGTTACAGAATCATAACAATTATATACATTGTTATTACCAGTACCCGACCATACATAATTGTGTTTTAATTTTTTAGGTTATCAAGGAAAAGAAAGCTGAATTTGACCAAAGAACAAAAGCAATTCATGATAAAGTAGACATAACCAACAATGAAGATGGTGAGTTATTTGGGATAAACCATCAATGTTTACTATACATTTTCCAGTGCAACAGTATAACCAACAATAAAAATTAAATAATAATTAAAATTAATAAGTTCTAAATAAAATGTATAATTGTTTAGAAAAATATTCAAAACTATTTTTGGACTTATTGTTTGAACTGAACAATAATGGTGGAAACTTCTCAGATTCCGATATTAGGGATGAGGTTGTAACGATGATGACTGGGGTAAATATATATGTTGTTATAATTCATATATTTTATATCTTTGTTGGAAAAATGTCTTGAATAAAATATATAAAATATGTAATTACAGGGTAGTGAAACCAGTGCTATCACAATCTGTTTTTGTCTTTTGATGTTAGCTATAGATCAAGATATACAAGTAAATATATATATAATATGTATCATATAACAAAAATTTAAAATATTCCTGACGTAGATTTGTCATTTTTTAAAAAATTAAATGTTTACAATATACAGTATACACTAATGTAAATACTAAAAAAAAAAAAAAGGTACTTAACTATTTTGTTAACAAACCTGATTTATATTTTAGGAAAAAGTATACGATGAAATTTACGATATATTTGGGGAAAGTGACCATATAATAACTATAGAAGACACTACTAGACTAGTGTATTTAGAACAAGTGTTAAAAGAAACCCTTCGATTATACCCTGTCGGACCAGTGTTACTCAGAGAAATTCGAGAAGATCTTAAAATATGTGAGTGAATTTAAAAATGTACCACTGTTGTATAAATTAATATTAAATTAACTATAATTTAGTCTCAAACGATTACGTACTGCCCAAAGGAACAACGTGTGTTATAAGCCCAATAGCCACACATCATAGTCCTGAATTGTACCCAAATCCTTGGTCTTTTAATCCTGAAAACTTCAGTCCAGAAAATGTAGCTAAACGCCATCGGTATAGCTTTATTGCTTTTAGTGGCGGTCCAAGGGGTTGCATAGGTAAAGTAATATGTAGTGAAATCATAATTATAATATATAGCTCCAATATATTCTAATACAATTGTATTTCAATTTAAATTTTAACGACAGGATCCAAATATGCCATGTTGTCGATGAAAGTCACTGTGTCAACATTTCTACGACACTTTAGCGTGCATACAGACATCAAATTGACAGACATTAAATTAAAGATAGATTTGTTGATGAGAAGTGTTCACGGTTATCCTGTTACAATTCGACCACGAGACAAAAGACCAACATATTATATGCGAAATCAAAATAAGCAAGGATAATGCGCAGCTGATTAATATGATTGGTTTTTTTTAAATACTTGTGAGTTACCTGGATATGAGTTTTAATATTAGTGTATCACGTTTATTATTGAATACAATTGTCAACTATACAAGACAGCTGGGTGAAGGAGAATACAATGCTAATTAATGTTCATTTAGCAGCTTAAATTGTGTATTAAACATTTATATTAAATTAACTATAATATGATCAATAAAAAAAACTTGTTTAACTTAATTAAAATGAATTAAAAAAACTTATATACATAAGTAGTACTTATATTATTTTAATATCGAAAATTATATTATTTTCAGTTTTTTTGTGACAGTAGTCATCGAATATTTTGTCGAGATTATGTAATGTTTGTTTATGTTTTCATTTCGTACCACCGCTATTGTCTTATCGATATTTTGTGTTTCTTGCTTATTTTGTATTCTGTCAAAATCAATAAATTAATGACTAGTAATTAATTGTATAAATGCTGATTTTAAAATCGTTTGTTTGTAAATTACTGATGCAGTTATTTTATATTCTTTGTGTTATATTTTTTTATAACACCTACTTTATTTTAACGCTATAAGTTAAAACTAGTACCTATCTATATATTAGCTTATGAGAGTTAAGCCATCAATAGTGTAATATAACAAAGGCGTGATTTGGGATTTATTGTCGTGTTTTATTTTTTCAAATTTATTATCATTGCTATAAGGTCAATTATTATAGGTATCACGAACCACTTTTAATCACTGTTTATTTTTTCTCGATACGGAACACCTATAAAATATTATATAATATACGTATCTATATACACACAGGGTCCAAGAATAACACGTTTTTATCCATCATTCGTCGACCGTGCCACAGCCCGTCAACGTACTAGTTGTGTTTATATAGTTTTATTTTTATTGATATAATAAAACGATTCTGCATCTTAATATGTACGTCGATTAGTATATCTTGAGCGTACATTGGAGTACGCTCACTTTAAAGAAGTTGTACAAATAATGCATATATCGTTTCAACTTCCACGCACTCTTTGTATTATATTATTATTATTATAATATTATGTTGCGGCGTATAAAGTAAACTATTGTGTATATAACCTGTAGTTTAGACATTAAAAGCAATAAAATTTTATTTTAATTATATTATATTATCATCGTAAAAATGCAACTCGACCGATAAACGTGCATTAAAAGGGCGAGGTGAACAATATATTGGAATATTATAGAAAAATATTTACCTGTCCTAGATAACAATTTATTATGTTTTATACAATTAAGACATTTATTACAACATATCCGTATTGATCATGGTGTAAAAACGAAATATAGAAAAAAGACGACGGTCGTATTCCGTACTCTGCAGATTTGTATCTGACATTGTAATTTTTTCAATGGATTTTCATTCATTACCAAGATGTTAACTATGTACCTATGTTTTTAGTTTTTGATGATGTACTTTTTATGAGATCGCGAAGGATTAATAAAAAATGAATAATCGTTCAATAGTACAGTATTGCAGATTTGTATTGGTTTAATATCTATATAATGTTTCGGTTAAATATAATTAAAACTGATTAGTGTACATTTACAATTAAAAATGCATTCCATACTATTACCACACTTTCAAATTTATTGTCTGTAGATATATATTCCATTACACCAGTAGGTTACCTACATAATAACATTTATAAACCATACTTTTTAATATTTATATACTTTTAAATTTTAAATGTTCTATTTATTTATTAGTATATTATAATATATTCATACATTATCATTTAAATTACACTAGTGATTTTAACGACCATTTTCACGACGACGCATAATTTGGATCCAAAATAATGGAGGCACACTGATGAAATGATTATTCACAATCAAGATAAATTTGCGATTTTTTTTTTTTTTAATTTATTAATAAATATTGACAAAATCTTTAGCTATAACATTTCCTCTATCTTTTCAATTATAAAGTGAAAACGTCAAATAAAATGACATATAATTTTTGAATATTTATAAAATAATGTTTTTCAATATTAATTCTATATAACACAACAATTATTGTATCAAATAACATTAATAATGTTATGTAATAACATATTATTATCTGATTGAATAAAGTCAGTCGTTTTATAATAATCACCGGGTTAATTTTTATGGCACATTTTCAATTTTTTTTTTTTATTTGGCACAATATCGTAAAAGGTTGGCCACCCCTGGGCTATAGTAAGGCTATAGACACGTTAGAATCTATTAAATCTATATTGAGTACAATAAGAGATAATTCGGTAAAAGTATTTAAAATTATTTTTGACTAAACTAAAATTTTCGATGAAAAAATGGATGTTAAAAAATCTGGAAAATCAGATACTATATTACAATTACACTATGTTTTCTAACATCAAGTGCCTTCTAAAAATTCTATGTATTATACCCATGACAAAAGTGACTTCGGAACTGTCATTGAGTTCATTGAAACGAATCAAAACCTATTTAATAGGTCTACAATGAATCAGAATAGACTCAATGGATTAACAATGCTTCGCATTAATAAATATATATAGCTGTAAGTTGTACACTATAACACTATAATGTTAAACGTTTCGTAATACAAACGTTCGCGGTTTTGCATGAAATTTGTAGACATGGCCTGTGTGGAACGATCGTGACTGGGTGGATTTGAATTTTATAACAATTCGTTTTTTGTGTTTTTTTTTTTATACACAAATACAAAAATACAAACCAAACTTATTTTATGTCTATATGTATATATATATATATACGTGTGGAATATATTATAATCTACATTTTTACGTTCCAACCACATAATATATAATATATTATTATAGTGGTCTGGAATAAAATGGTAGGCAGACAAAAGTCAATATATTGAAAGCACTTCAAAATGGCTCGAAGATAATTCATACAGTATGTATATATATAATACACATATACGACACACTCGACACAGTGTGCAACGCTAAGAGTCTTGTCATTTATGGGGTACCTGCGCCCCTAAAATGTAAGTGGTGCTCGTTTTGTACACAACGTGTCGGTATGATAATATACGGGGCCGATAGATGGTATAGGTACCCAAAATATTGGACACATTTCAGAGTCCGACTAAATCGATGGAGCTCGGGAAAAACTTGCCAAGTGTGGAATTTGGAATTTTCAGTAGATGTTTAAGAATTAAAGTTCAATCGCATTTAAGAAATAATAATAATAATAAATTATACTCATTAAACAATATTTCAATTACTTAACAATATTGCAGCACCCCCTAAGAGCTAAACTTGTCGGAAATAAGATAACGTTAATTTGTATTTTGTAACTTAGACTAATATTTTGCATAGTCTTTGAAAAATAATAAATTATACGACAAATTAACCTATTTTGTTCAAAATATGTTTTTACTCTATTAATTTTGCATCTACATTCTAACATATAAACAAATTTATTGGTAACAATATATTAAACAATTTTTTAGTATATTATAACAATTTAAAAAAAAAAAATAACTCAACAACTAATTTTAAATACTTATTTAAAAATGTTTTAAATCATTGATCAGTATTCTACTCTAAGATTTTTCTTCTTCTATATCAGTCTCATGATAAAATGAAATGTTTAAAAATTCTTAACTCAAAATAATTTGATAATTTTCGTGATTTTTCCATATTTTGTCAATTTTTGAACTATAAATGAATATAAAAAAAAAAACTGTGAATAAGGATTATATTTTTCAAATATCATTGTAATAATTTAGTAGGAGCCTTGTATTAAATGTTCAAGTATTTTAAATCAATAAATAAAGTTAAATTGATATTCATAGAAAAAAAAATTAATAAAATTGGAAACTGAAAATGTCCCTAAACAGTTCAAAACAAATCAAAATATTTTGAAAATTTTATCGTGTATAGAAAAGAGAAATATAAACGACCAAGCGAAAATTCATGTATATACGTTCATTTGTTTTAGAGTAACACCAAAAACCAAAATCAATTTTGTGGAAAACCGATTTTGAGTAAAAATTCCCGTTTTTCCTTAATTTTTATGTTGATTTTCCCAGCTCTTTTGAAAACTATTGAGAATTTTAAAATTTGACCTCCCCAATGCACCAACAAGATACTGAAAATGTAGAAAATCGAAGCATTATTTCGACTACTTCTGGGGTTCGTTGCCATGGTAATATGGACACACATACAGACGGCTGACATACATCCATTTTTATATATAGAGATTCCTAGCATTTAAATTATTAGTGAAAATAGCCATAAATTAATATTATATAATAGGTATAAAATACCTACATATGAATAGGTACACCACTTATATTACAACTAACTCACTGTTGGTATAAATATTAATGATACATATAAAGCCCACATTATTGTGATTGTAAAACAAATTTCAATTTAATAAACTTGATTAAACTCATATAATAATAGACGTCAAGTAAATGGAAAAGTTTAATTGAGTAATGAGTTAGTTGACTGTTTAATTTATTACTAATTAACTGTTAAATTTAATTTATTTATAGTTATTATAATACGAATCCTAAAAGTCAAAAGTTAATTTAGAGAATTGTAACTGTTTAATTTATACGATATTAATAATTATTCTAATACGAATCTTAAAGGTCAAAAGTTAATTTAGAGAATTGTAATTACTATTCACTGATAAGTTCTAAGCTGCTGTTAATAAAGTAATTATTATTTTAACTACCGCACCCGAATACACATAGTACCTATCTACAGGGTGATTCGTTAAGCTTAAAAGTACAGCTTGATTGAACAAATTAAAATATTGAAACCAATTGATATACGCATTACACAACATACATTTATTTTGTTTTTCAGTTTAACTTATACAACGTTCCTCATATGTTGATGTTAGTGGAAATCAAAAACAATTTGAGAGTAAATCTACAATAATTTTTTATGAGCGTCTGAAATCAAAATGTAGACTAAATTCATCAAAAACACCAACATAATATG